CATAGGATAATCATAACACTATAAATGAAATTTGCTTCATTTACCTTTCAAAATATCAACCAATTAAAAATCTTATTACACAAATGAAATTACATATCTAGTTTGTGTCACTAACAAAGAAATTTGCCATTTCATCAAATTCAAATTGCCGATTTACATTTTATTTCCCATTGCAATTAGTTACATGGGCATAATTTTAGCCTTATAAGTATGACTTGAATTTATTTACCAATTTCACTTTGTAAAAGCAATAATTCATCATGACTTGTATTTTCACCATGAATAATATTGCCCCTTATCTTATTTTAATAGCTAATATTTTTTTAACGACTACATATGGTTGTGTTCTTTCGAAGCAATACGAGGTTCACGTGGTTAATAAGATGCCGTTACCCAGAATGAAAGTGCACTGTGCATCTGCAGATAACGATCTTGGATATCACTACGCCGAACCAGACTACGATTTAAATTGGAAATTTTGTGAGAATATTACTGGAAGTACTTTATACTTTTGTACACTTAGATGGCGTAATAAAGAAGTCTCGTTTAATGCATTTACATCTCATTTAAAGAACGACCCATGTTCTAAAGGTATATGCCGTTTTGAAGCGAGAACCAATGGTATCTATTTCTCTGGAGGTGCTTCTCCTACGATGACGATGTTGTATTTTTGGAAGAATCATACGGGACAATTTGTACTATAAACATATCAATTAAGAATAATTAAAATAAAATGAATTTAATTTGGGTATTAATATTGCTCTTATTATCGATATCAACTTTAAATTAAATTACCTTGTTTTAGGCATAGGTAGTTAATTAGTATTATTCTGGCAAAATAAAAAGTAATAATAATAGTTAATTAGATTGAAGGAGATTGCCAACAACTTATCAACATTTTCTAAGCTAATGAATCCTCCTTTCATTCCTTTGGAGCGATTATCGAAGAATGCTATTTTTATTCTCGTTTATTTTCTTCTTGTTCCTTTTCATTTATTAGACGGCAGGGCAATAGCCTGGCGCACTCTCTCGCTTCTCTTTCTATTGAAGACTTTTTAGAGGGTTCTTCACCTCCTGTTGGTTTGGTCATTGGTGCCTAATATATGATATCTCGCTTTTTTTCAAAAAAAAAAATTGTTAATTAGTATTATTTTTAATGGTAATAATGTCAGAGATCATAATTACAATTTTCATTTCTATCTTTATCACGGTTAGTGTTATACAATTTTGCAAAAAAAAAAAAAAAAATTATTTTTGTCACCCGTCTAATTTTAGGGTTAGATTAGATATTGAATTCCTAATATATTTGGTAAATAATAGATTTTTTCCGAATTACTTTCGGATCATAATCGGCCGGCAACAGAGAATTGCATTTATTTTATTTACATTTCCAAAGCCGATAAAAAGTTTTGGAGAATTTGGAAATCGGAAGAAAATATTGTTCCAAAATTTGAATTTGTCGGATCAAGACCGACATAAATATTGAAAATTCCGTTCCAACAATTTGGTCCACATTTGCCTGGTTTGCGTTGACTTTTTTTTTTTCTTTTTTTTTTTTCCAATTTTATATGTTTTAAAGACTTGAAACAAAACACTAAGGCTATATTTTATTACTGAAATGCTAAATCCCACACTATTTTTACCAAACCATGCACATAATTAAAAATATTTATTTGTCTAAAATCTTCTCTTCTTCTTCCCATCATCTTCTTTTTCCCTAACTTTTTCACAAAATCACACACTAAAACCATCCTTAGCATTCAAAGTTCCAATTTGACAAAAATCTCCACATGTTCAAACTAAAATAAAGTTGGATTTGAGGAAAAAAATCGAATTCATATGAATTTGAATAATTAAAAATGCTTAATGAAATTGAATAAATATTAAATAAAACATAACTCATTTTTTATGATTATTCACGTAAAAAAATAACGAATTTTGAGTGACTTGGATAAAATTATTTTAGAGAAAAGTTAGAGAAAATTTTAGTAGAGAGAGAATGTTTTTTAATTTATGTGTGGATTTAGTAAATTTTAGTGTAGGATTTAGCACGAGAGAGAATGTATTTGAACAAATTTAATGAGATTAATTAGTAATCGATGTAATTATCAATATAAGCTTGGGTTAATCTAATTGGACTAGCCTAGATTATTTGGAATAGTATATACTTGGGTTTGAACCTTCTCTAGGGTAGAGCCCAATCAAATGAATGACGTCATCGACAAGAAATATCATCAATTAAATACTTTCAGCCATAAATTAAATATGCTTCATTTATTAACAAATATTAAATAATGGAAGAAATCTGAATTCTGAAAATAAATAATAAATTCTTTTATATTGTGAGGATAATTCATTCTATAACATTTTTCGATTCATAGCTCTCATATCTGAATTAATTTAATTATAGTGTAATGGATATAATTTCAACAAATTAATTTAAATATTTCCTTCAAATTATTTGATTAAGCACTAACCATTTAGTTCAATAGAATCTCAAGTGTTTAATACCTCATGCCCTATAATAGAGTGTGGCAAGAGCTCAACATTTAACAATTTAACAATGGAAAAAATCATACATTTTCTCACTTTACTATCATTTTCTTTCTTAATGATGTCATCGACGACGTCGAGTTGTTTCATCACGCATAAATTTCACGTTCACGTGACTAATAAACTTCCATCTCCACAACTGAGGCTGCACTGTGCATCTAAAGATAACGATCTTGGATATCATAATACGAGTCAAAACTTCGATTTTAATTGGAGCTTTTGCGAGAGTTATCTTACTAATACTTTATTCTTTTGTCATATTTGGTGGAATAATAAGGAGTCCGCTTTTGACGTGTTTAACTCCCAGGCGAGGTTCGGGAGTGAGCCGTGTATTGGTCGTGTGTGCTATTATGAAGTGAGGAGCGATGGTATTTATTTCGCGGAAGGTCAAACTCCCTTTAAGAAAAAGTATGACTGGAAAAGCTAATCAATGTTAATTGGAAGAAAAATAGATGAAAATAATTGGTGATAAAAATATTATTTTCTATATTATTTCTTTTTAATGCAATTTTATTTAATAAAAAAATAAAATAAAGAAAAAATCAAATTGCTGGAAATTAAGTTAATTTTCATTCAAATTTTGTGGGCGATAATTTATAAAGGTTTCAAATCCATAAAATAAGATTTTGAGAGTTAATTTCAAATACTACCATGGTGTTATCTTTATTCTCAAATACCCCCTGTAAAAAAAAACTCTTCAACATCTCCTATGTTAACAAAGTCAGTGCATCGAGACCCCTGGAGACAAATCATTTCACTCACTCGCGGGTTGTGCAAATTTTTATGTATTTTTATTGAAATGTCATAAACACCCCTTTATAAATTTAAAAAAAATCTGCTTGATTAAATTATGAATAACCTAAATTTTGAGGACCAAACTGTAATTTATAAAATTGCAAAATAATGAAAAAAAGAAGAGAGAAAAGAACGAGTTTTCATTCACGTCTTCTTCCTCGTTCCAGTCCGCCGGCACACCTCCCAACCAGAAAAAGAAGTTCAGCACCGCCGCCGTCTCACACCACCGCCACCGACTCACTTCTTCAAATTTCTCTCTCTCTAGACACTGCCGCCGTCTGGCACCTCCAGTTTCTTCTCTTGCTTTGCATTATTGCCGCCGCCGTTCGCCGCATTTGTTCTGGAGATTGGGTCTGCCACCGGAAGAGTGAAACTGGGAAATTTTAGCTTCCGTCCATGATGCAGACGTTCAGGGATGAAGATGGGATGATTTCTGGATATTTACATTTCTGCCCCTCATTTCTGTGTTTATTTGCACTTTCACCCCTGGCTTGGGTCTTTTCTGCAATGTCCGAAATTTCTAATGGAATCCTGCTGGCTTACCCTGCTATTTCTGCATAATTGCAAATTAACCCCCGCCTGGGGTCTCTACAGCATTTTCAGAGAGTCTTAACAGTGTAGGCAGTTTTAGTTTTTTTTATCTTTTCTACCCCATTTTGGGGCTTTTGTGTAGTGAAACGAGGCCCCAAACTTTTTACAATAATGGAAGGACAAAATGCACTTCGCCCCCTATAAATTTCTGTTTTTCGCACTTGCCTCCCTAAAAATAAAAAAAATGGATATTCCCTCTTCAAAATATTATATTGAATGCACTTTGCCCCATAAGCCAATTTTTTGAGGGCATTGTGCAACAAAAAGAACATTTTAAAGGGGCAATGTGCAAAAAAATAATGTTTTTAAGGGGCAACGTGCAACAAAAATACTCAATTCCGATGAATAATCCATCGGAGTTTTGCTATTGGCCGGGGTAGTGTGCAACAAGAATAATATTTTGAAGGGGACATTCACTTTAAAAAACATAGGGGGTAAAGTGTGAAAATTAAAAATTTACAGGGGGTGATGTGCAATTTGCCCATAATGGAATAATAAAAAAAATTGGCCAAAAAAAATGAAAAAAAATAAAAATAAAACAAGAACTTCCAAATCTAATTCTAGTGAATTTAAAACACGTGGATACATTCAATAATAATTGATTATTTTGCTCCTTAATTAAGTCAAAATTCTCCTTCTGAAATAGGAAGTCGTGCTGGCAGGAAATTTTCGAGTGATTTTGGCCTTTAAAGAAATATACATTTTTATTTCCTGAAAAACAAATTTATATATATAAGGCAAAGTAGTAATAAAGAATTATTTAACGGCCAAAATTATTCTATTTTTCATTCAAATTTAGTAGGTGATAATTACACGTGGATGAAAAAGATAATGAATTCTGAACTTGTTTGGATAAAAGGTTTCCAATTCCATATAATAAGATATGAAATCCCGCCCTCAAATCCCCTAAAATAAAGTCGAATATTTATTTCGGTCAAATCGATGCACCTCTATAAATTGAATCGCAACAATTGCTCGACCAAAGTATCTCGAAAATTTCAATACCACACAACATTCCCACGATGAAAAATCTCACTTTGTTAGCGTGCATTTTCATAACGATGTGGTCGACCACAACAGCTTGTTTCATCACAACAAAATTCCACGTCCACATGGTCAACAAGCTTAAATCTCCACAGCTAAGGCTTCACTGTGCGTCTAAAGACGACGACCTGGGATATCATAACATGAATGAAAACGAGGATTTTACTTGGCATTTCTGCGATAGTTTTGTGTCCAATACTCTCTTCTATTGCACTGTTCAATGGAAAAACAAGAGAGCATCTTTCGACGCGTTTAGATCGAAGAAGAGCGATGAGTGTGCGGACGCTACATGCTATTATGAAATATGGGAAGATGGTATTTATTTCGCGGGAGGCAACAACCAGCGAATAATGCAGAAGAAGTATGATTGGAACAACTAGTCCACGTGTAGTAATATTAATTCCAATAATTGAGTGTGTTATTTGGAAGAAATATCAATAAATAAATATGTAAAATTATTGGTGTTATTGTTCAATTCTCTATAATCATGTTCTAGGAGATAATATTTTTATTTTGTTTCTTTTCTCCCTGCCTAATATGAGAACATTATTTTAATTAGGGCAAACTATGGCCACTCCTGCAGTATTGGTCAAATTATGAAAAAAACTTTTTTGTTTGGGTAATTACAACGACCCCTCTTTTTAAATATTTTTACACAAAATTTATGTAATTCGGTTATTTACCGAACCAAATCGTATATTCAGTTCCGTAAACGGTATGAAATGTTTGCGTACCGAAACTTTGGTTTGGTTTTCCCAATTTAACATCCCTAAATTTACCTCTTGAGGGGTATTTTTGTAAGATAATACATAGTTGAGGGGTGGCTGTAATTACCCAAATAAGAGAGGGTTTTTCGTAATTTGACCATAACTCAAGGGTGGCCGTAATTTGCACATTTAATTATTCCCTTGATTGAATAGATGCACCATTCATATTTATAAATCGACACGAATAATATATGTTATATTGTATGCACACGCGAATTGTGTTTACACAGGCACACGCGAATTTTGCGACTGAGAGTGTATTTTTTTTTTTACCTTAAGAGATCTAATTACCCTTCATCACAAATTTAAAAATTGCAGATTCACCTTGAATTTTATCAGCATCAAAATGAACTTTTTATTTTTCCTATTTCAGTCCCTTACACTTTCAAAAAAGCTCTCTCTTACACCACACCCAAAACCACCATTGCCGGCCAACTAAAAAAACTCCGAACTAGCCGCCTAGCTCTGCCAGCACCTCCGGTTCGTCGCCCGTCTCGCCACCTCGTTGGCAGTCAACGACTACCCTGTCCACCGTCGACATCACCAAAACCATCGACACGTCAAAATCTCACAAATGCCCCCTTTTCTTTGTTCCAGCTCTCTCAATGGACTCCGACCCACTTCAACCGGTGAAAATGCCACAGTTCCACCAAATCAACCACCACTACAAGTGTAGGAGGAGATGATTAATTTATCTCGGCTTTCTCATGTGTTGTGGCTTTCGGTCATTTTTTTGCTCAAAATGAACAAATTCCGCATCGGTGCTAAAACTAATAGAGTTGAGGTATGCTCGTATAACTTTTTTCTGTTCAGGGGTAAAGTGCAAAAAACGTCTGAAGTTGAAGGGGAAAAATGCTATTAACCATTAAAAATAGGGTAGATTACACCTACACCCCTGATATATACTAAAATAACTTTAAGGTTGCTGTGGTATTGGTACTTATAACCATACCCCTGAAACAATTATCCGAGCCAAGTTTCATGTCATGGGGACCGATATGCACTATATTTGTTTTTCGCGGGGAAGTTAATGATACCATAGATGAAAATTTATAAATAATGTACACAATAATAATGATTTAAGATATGATGGGGGAGCCATCTCACCCCCTAGCTCTATGTTGTCTCGACCACTTCCTGAAAATTAATAGTCTGTTAGAACTCTAATAAAATAACTTATCCAATGCATTATTCCGTTAATGCTTCTAACAATGTTTCGGGGGTCATTGTAATTAACGATACTACAGGGACCATACAGTTAATTTAGCATATTTCAGAGGTGTAGGTGTAATTTACCCTTTAAAAATATATGGAGTGCTACTAAAAATGAATTTCCAAATTTCGTTTGGAGCAGACCATTTGAAAAAGAAACGAGACTAGATCCTAAATTAAATTGATGAAATTGCCAAAATTATTCGACTTTTCGTTCACTTTTAGTAGGTGATAATTATTACTACACACTTGATGGGCGATTATGGAGATAGATCGAAAATTCATATTACCAATTCTTTGAACTTGTTTGGATGAATTAAACCAGTCTACAAAAAAGTTTCTAATTCATAAAATACGATTCGAAATCCTTCCCTCAAAATTGACTCAAATGAAATCCGATATTTCTTTCGGTCAAATCGATAAATCTAAAGCGTTAGCCACACGTAGCTCTATAAATTGAATTCACGAGACCTCAACCAAATATTTCGAAAATTTCAATCTCGAACATTTCCACAATGAAAAATCTCATCAATTTTCTCACTTTGTTAGCATGCGTTTTCCTAACGATGTCGCGAACCACAACGGGTTGTATTACACCAAAGTTTACCATTCACGTGGTCAATAAGCTCCCATCTCCACAACTAAAACTGCATTGTGCGTCTAAAAATGACGATCTTGGATATAAGACTACGAGCGAAAACTATGATTATAATTGGACGTTTTGCGAAAGTTTTTGGTCAAATACTCTCTTCTTTTGCAGTCTTGCATGGAAAAATAATCACGTCAAATTTGACGTGTTTACATCAAAGAAGAGCGATGACTGTTTCGATGGTACGTGTTATTATGAAATATGGGACGATGGTATTTATTTCGCAGGAGGCGACGCCCCGAGAATATTGCAGAAGAAGTATGATTGGCAACAGTAGTCCGTATGCGTGTGTTAGTATTCCAATATTTGAGTGTGTTAATTTGAAGAAATAAAAATGAATAAACATGTGAAATTATTGTTTAATTCTCTATTATCATGTTCTAGGAGATAATATTTTTAATAATTATAATTATTCCCTTGATTGATACAGATGCACCATTCCCATTTTTAAATCAACATGAATATATGTTATTTTGTACGCACACGCAAATTTTGCAATTGAGAGTGCATTTTTTTTTTACCTAAAAGGACCCAATTACCCTTCATCACAAATCTAAAAATTGCATATTCACCCTAAATTTTTTATAAGCACCAAAATGAACTTCTCAATTTTTTTTTTTTTTTTTTTTTTTTTTTTTTTTTTTTTATTTTGGTCCCTTAGAGTTTCAAAAAAAGTCATCTCCTATACCACACTCAAAACCACCATTGCCCGCTAACTCAAAAAACTCCGAACTAGCCGCCCAGCTTTGCCACCACCTCCACTTCGCCACCCGCCTCGTCACCTCTCCCGCCATCTACGACCACCCTCAACTCGCCAAAATCTCACAAATTCCATAAGGCCAAAGGTAAGCGCCCCCTTTCCCCTGTTCCATCTCTTAAAGAACTCCGATCACTTGCCATAGCCAGTGGCGGAGCCAACATAGGGCCAGAGGGGGCCATGGCCCCCCAACAGTTCTCGAATCCCTACATTTTTATAAGGATCTAAAAAAAATCGTGTATAATTAGCATTATTATCACCCCCTCTCATAAAAAATTTAATGCATTTAGCCCCTACAAACTTAAAATCTTGTCTCCGCTAGTGGCCATAGTTACACCAAATCAACCACCACTATGGCGGCGCAATGTTCGGAAAGAATTTCGTTGGAAGCCGTTCGTTAGGGCCTAGTGGTGGTGGACTGGTAGTGAGGGGAAGATGATTTTCGCTTTTATTTTGTTTTATTTATATTTAGTACAGTAAAGGGAAAAATAAGTGTATGAGGAAATAACTAATTTATGTCGGTTCAAGTCACGTGCTTCTCACGTGTGGTGGCTTTCGGTCTTTTTTTTTTTTTTGCTGAAAATAAACAAATTCGCGCCGGTGCTAAAACTAATATAGTTGAGAGGTATGCCAGTACAACTTTTTTATGTTTAAGTGTAAAAGTGCAAAAACGTCCAAAATTCAACGGAAAATGCTATTAACCATTAAAAATATATGGCGACTACTAAAAATGAGTTTCCAAATTTAGTTTGGACCAGACCATTTGAAGAAGAAACAAGACTATATCCTAAATCAAATTGAAATTGCCAAAATTATTCGATTTTTCGTTCACATTTAGTAGGTGATATTTATTACTACGCGTTGGATGGACGATTATGGAAATCGATCTTGAGGATTGCAAATTCATATTACGAATTATTTGAACTTGTTTGAATGAAACCAGTCTACAAAAAAGTTTCTAAATTCATAAAATACGATTCGAAATCCTGCCCTCAAAATTGACTCAAATGAAATCCCATATTTCTTTCGGTCAAATCGATAAATCTAAAGTGCTTACCACACGTGGCTCTATAAATTGAATTCAACGAGACCTCAACCAAAAATATCACGAAAATTTTCAATCTCGAACATTTCCACAATGAAAAATCTCGTCAATTTTGTCACTTTGTTAGCATGCGTTTTCCTAACGATGTCGCCAACCACAACGGGTTGTTTTGTCACAAAAAAGTATACCGTTCACGTGGTGAATAGGCTTCCATCTCCACAACTAAACCTGCACTGCGCGTCTAAAAATGACGATCTTGGATATCATACTACGAGCGAAAACTACGATTTTAATTGGAGTTTTTGCGACAGTTTTTGGTCCAATACTCTCTTCTTTTGCAGTCTTGCGTGGAAAAATAACCACATCTCTTTCGACGTGTATACATCGCAGACTAACGACCAATGTTCGGACCGTTCGTGTTATTATGAAGTACGGCAAGATGGTATTTATTTCGCAGGACAGAAGAAGTATGATTGGCAACACTAGTCCGTTTGTGTTTTAATTTTCTAATATTTGAGCGCGTTAATTTGAAGAAATATAAATGAAGATGATATGAATTTTTGTTATTTTTAATTTTTAATTTTTGTTATAATGGAAAATTATTCTAATTTTGCCCTTCATTAATATAACAGTTGTGGTGTCTTGAAATATAAATATTTAATGTCCCAGGAAAAGACTGATATTTTTTAAAAGTATTCTTCATATTTCTAAAATAACAATAATAATTATACATAAAAAAGCTCTCTGTCGATAGAAATTTTGAATTACGATTTTGATGAATTAAGTCTCAGCTATAAGCCCGATTATCGTACTCCTAAACGGTTAGTTCATGGATGCAATTTAGAGGGGAAAATTACAGTTTATGTCCCTAAACTTTACCACTAAAACAATTTATGTCCTCAAACATTTCAATCCACGAAATATGTCCTCAAACTTGTCACTTTTGATCA